CTGCACAACCCAAAAATTACAAAAATACCAATGCACATGTATATATTATTTCCCCCCATTTTTTAGAGAACAAGGAAAACAAGGACCCTTCATAATTTTTCCAGCTTCTTGAGCACTAGACCTCCAGTTTCTCTCAAAAGAATTTTCCATCTTTAGCCCCTTATTTTACATGCCAAAACCTCAAGAAATTGCTACTTCATTATTTCCTACACCCCCAGCACTGCATAATAATTTCCAACATTGTAGCTCACCATGGCTGGAAGACAGCATACTTCAATTTCAGCTTCAACTTTTGGGTAATTTTTCTTAAGTATCAGAGGATCAAGATGTAAAGTTAGCATAAAAAATGGAATCAAGCATTCTACTTAAAAGCCCCCAAGCGGTCATCCTTCCTTCTTCCATCACCACTTTTAAGTTTATCTTTTTTATCCCAAAGGAATTTTAGAAGAGAGATTGTTATATTTCCCACTTATAATATGAGGGTTGCTCATTATAGGGTGAAGATATTTACTAGAAATAGTAGAGGTTACATTTATTGTCATTATTATCACGTTGCACTACTTTATGTATAAATGTGATTCTCAAGTTCTAATCTTTGACCCTCATGTATCCTCCGTCCATGCTACCTTTATCATGACATCTATTTCCTCGTTACCCTTTTGTTAGTTGTGTAGTCATCCTTGGTTCCTAGGATTCTATTATTTTTTGTTCAACCCTCTTCTCCTCGACTTGGTTAGAGAATTTATGTTTAGCAACTTCGCTGAGGAGCCTATTGTTAGCCATCATCGCTGGGTAGAACAAGATGGCTCGTGGCACGTAGCTTTCAGCACGTGAAACGGGTGCTGCTAAAAGAGCCTTCCTCATTCCTCTAAAGGTGGTATTTGAGTTGGCCTCCACTTCATCTTCACTGCTAACTCATCATCTTGCATCACCAACACATCCTCAACAAAGATTAAAAATATATAAAATTAAAAATTTAAAAACTAAAATTGACCAATAATCTTTTTAAAAAATTATATTTTTATTCATACTAAATCTCAAATTTACATCACTATACAAGTATGATTAGCATTTGCTAATAAAAAAAAAAATTTCATAGTTTTGAAAATCGAACTAGACTAATCAATCAGACCAGTTAAACTGGTACTGATATTATAAACAGTTTGGATATACTTTTAAAATCATTTGGATAATTAAACCATTTGAAACTATTACAATCACTCACACCAGTAAATTGTTATTGAGGGATGAATTTGCATTGCTTCAAAGTTGACAACGTGTGCAACACCACATCAGCAATGGCCCACACGATCTATTTTCCACATCAAATATGTTTTTATTTTCTGCTAATCATTGCAATAGAATCAACATCATCAGGAATGGCATTGATTCACTTCACTAGAAACATTGCAGACATAACCCGCTTTAGCATATGTTTCTATATACACAGCTAGACATGACTACATTTATCTACCTAACATGGCTAGGCATTTTTGACGGTCATGTTCTCTATGGCAATGTTCCCTATTAAATATTTTGGCTCCTAACGATAGACAAAAGGTTAGATTTGTTATCTCATTTACCCTCCAACAATGGGTAAAAAGCTACACGTCTCTACATGTTCTATCTTACTGGCTCCTAGAAATAGACAAAGAGTCAGTGTAACTTAATACGATTAGCATGAGGTCAGTAACAATTGTAACCTTGCAATTGGAAGGGTTAGCTACCCTCCAATGATAAAACCCATCAAGTAGCGGCTGGCAATCCTTTGGTGGTGGCTCATGCATGGTGATGCGTTGCTCGACAAACAACAACAACAACTAGGATCACCCTTTGATGATGCGGGTACAGTAATAAGGGCCATGGTTTGTTAGTGGTATCACATCTTGGTGTATCGAAAGCCATGGATGCGGCTGGTGTCTCCCTTCCATGGAGACAACTCCGCTTCTCTCTATCACACATTCATCACTATGGCGGAGTCTGGCTTAGTAAGATCTACCCCTTCGCAAATTGGTGGATTAATGGAAATGCTTTTCCAATTCCACATAGTTCACACTTTAGCCATGGACAAAGCTAGCCATTATGGTCTCTCTGGCTATAGGGAAGCTATTCATGGCTAACCCTACAATATTTACATGGTTGACGGCCATGCACGTCATTATTTTCTCACACAAAGGAATAAAATTATCAATTGTCGATAATCACGACTCATAACATATATCTTTTATGCTTTACGTGTTAGTAGATATCGTCGACCAATGATGCTTGGCTTGAGACAACGATGTCACAGCACACATCCTTATCATTTATTCTTTGTCTTGATGTCATAACAGCCATGTACAACAGTAATATATAGGCGTTCACCATGGCTAGCAGACAAAAGGGTGCAGTGAGCATTCATCCACATCGTCCCCTTTAATACACAAGGAAGTGCCCTTTTTCATTACGCATATCCATACATTTTGCACTTAAATATTTAAATATATACTCATTTGTATCTTTTATTGCAAATAAACACAAGCCCATGAATCCAAGCTCATGAGAATTGCTCGAGATAAACTATAGGAGTGGTGGCTTAGCAGCCATGGATGGGTGAATGCTGTCCATCTAGCAAAGCAAGGTATTCGCACCAACGAAGCTTGGCGCTAGTGATGTTGCCCAACTTCACCAAAGAGGGTTGGGTGGCAAAGACGTACAAGTGGAACTAATCCCGAGAACCGCACCATCTGATGATAACTAGAAGCTCAAAATCCTGTTAAAAACTAATCAGAGATGCTATTTTAGTCCCCATCAGCAAGTTACAGTTGTATTTAATAAAAAGGTAGTTGCACAAGTTACATTGTGTTGGGAACTATTGAAAAAAATTGCATTTTGCTTGGGGAATTTTCCAAAATCTTGGGTTGATTTTATGTTTGCTGGATGCACTTAAGTATCCTCCCAAAAATGAAATTTTGTATGGCAGGAGGAATTACCAAAAAGAAGACAGTTTTCAGTCCATTGCTAGAACTAGCAAAACTTCGCTAGAACCATTGGACAATTCATAATATCACTGCTAGAAAGCTATTAGCAGTGCCTAGAGTCACTGAAAGCTTGATAGCTCACCCAAATCTACTTGATAGCCACTGTACACCTTTGGCCCATCAACTTGAAAATCACAAAAATGCCATTGCACATACGTATATATTATTTTCCCTTCATTTTTCAACATACAAGGACGGTCTTTAGGGATCTAACTCTCATTTCTCATGCACAAAACCTCCATATTTCCTTTGAAAAATCTTTCATCTTCAACCTCTCACCCTGCACACCGAAACCATCCAAGAACTACCATCATCTTCATATTTTCTACACTTCCACCATTGCAAAACAATTTTCAAATCTATAGAGTATCATGGCTAGGAGACAACATGTTGTAGTTTCAACTTCTAGGTGATTTTTCTTGAGAATCAAAGGATCAAACTGCAAGGTTAGCATCAGAAACAGGATCAAGCACTCCACTCATAGGCCTCCCAAGCGATCATCCTTTTTTCTCCCATCACCATTTTCAAGTTTATTCCTTTTGTTTTTGAAGGATCTTCAAGAGAGGGATTGTTGTATTTTCTATTTACAATATGAGTGTTGTTCATTATAGAGTGAGAATATTTACTAGAGATGGTAGAGGTCACATTTATTGGCATTATTATTATATTACAATACTTTATGTATAAATGTGATTCTCAAGTTGTAATCCTTGATCTTCATGTATTTTCTGTCCTTGCTACTCTTATTATGATGTTTATTTTCTCTTCACTCATTTGGTAGTTGTGTAATCATTCTCAGTTTATTCCTTTTGTGCTTGAAGGAGCTTCAAGAAGAGGATTGTTGTATTTTTTATTTACATTATGAGGATTGCTCATTATAGAGTAAGGATATTTACTAGAGATGGTAGATGTCACATTTATTTTCATTATTATTATGTCACAATACTTTATGTATAAATGTGATTCTCAAGTTGTAATCCTTGATTCTCATGTATTTTCTATCCTTGTTGCTCTTGTTATGGTGTTTATTTTCTCTTCACTCTTTTGGTAGTTTTGTAATCATTCTCAGTTCTTGGAATTTCATCGTCTTTGCTCAGCCTTCTTATTCTCGACTTGGCTGGAAAATTTATGCTTATCGATTTTGTTAGAGAATTTGCCGTTGATCATCATCGTTGGGCAAAACAAAATGGCTCGTGGCACGTAGCTTCTAACACATGAAACGAGTGCTGCCAAAATGACCCTCCTTATTATTTTTTTTTTAATGGGTGGCATCCAAGTCAGCCTCCACATCATCTTCGTTATTGACTCATCATCTTGCATCACCAACACACCCCAACAACTGTTTGACCAAATGGTTTAATACTTGGACATAAATCTCTAACTCCAATCCTTTACCATTTAATTGAATTATTGATGACAACCTTGAGAATCGAACTCTCATCCTTCATATTACACAACTTATGCTTTATAATATACTTATTCTATTTTTAAAAATACTATTATATTAAAGTTTGTTTTGACAAGGACTTAAACCCGTGATCTCAAAAATTTGTTACCTATCATTGTAGCCAACTGACACCCCATGAAACTCTTTGCATAATAATATATTTATAGTATTTTGATTAACCCAATAGTTTTACAAGTTAAATCCATTAAATAGTTCAAATTGAGAACCAAAAATCAAAATAGTTTGACTTCTGGTCTAATTTTAAAAACATTGATTTCATTAACATTCATTTATAAAATTTATGCATTTCAATTTAAATTATATATTATATATTAAAAATGCGACCTCAAATTTGAAATTTCTAGGTAATAAACATTAAAAAAATTCCATTAAAAATATTTTAATAATTTCAGCTATTAGTACACTCGAACTTGGAAAAACCTTTTTTTTTTTTTCCATTTATTGTCACCTAGAAAGGAAAGTACTACTCTCATGGCTTTGCCGTATAAACAATTAAAAAGGTTCTCTCCAACGAAGTGGTTTAAAGGTTCAACGGATTCCAACATGTCTTCATCGCCGGCCGAGGGGGACAACGATGCGGAATTCCGGTCACCTGTAGACGACGCGTGGTATTCGGTGAGTTTGTTGGCCGAGGGGAACAAACTGAGAGTAAGATTTCTTAACTTTCCCGACAGTCATGATGCCGTTTACGATGCCTTGGAATTGAACAACGAGGCTAGTCTCAAGGACTTCAAAGGTAGAATCCGGAAGCTCTCCGCTCAGCTTCAGGACGGAGAGTGTTCCAACGTCCTCCCGGGCACGCTCGTCTGTGCTTCTCACTCATTCAGTCCAAACGATGTTCGCTTCTATGATGCTGTTGTGGAGGGGGTAAGTAATTGAGGGTTTCTGCTCCTTTTTCCCCTATGAACCCTTTTGATGTATAATGCCTATAAAAATGTGATCTTGCTGTGGAGAGGAGAAGCTCAAATTTGTTTCTTTGACTGCCTTTTTCTCGTTGATCACACATTTTGGAAATGGGTATTACGTTTTACTGTGATACTGTTTTCATTTTCTCAGTTAGGTGGGAATCCCCTTTTTGTCCTCCCTTTTTACTTGGCTTTGGTTTGATTTCTTTTAAATGCCTTCTTCTCCCCTGAGCGGTCTGCCGTTTAGTTGCTGGTATGCCCCTTCTGCTTTGCTGTTTCTTATTTCTGCGAGCATAGTCTTTAGTTCTGTTTTTCAATTTGTTGGTGCAGGGTCTGTTCTCTTTCTGGTTGGGTTATTCTTCTGTCTCATTTACATGTACTTGTTCTTTTGGATTTTTTCTGCTGATCTTGGGCTGCCTCTTGGTTGTTGGCAACTTGTTTCTCTTATATGTCTATATCACTTCTGATTAATGAAATTCAGTGAATTGAAAGAAAAAAAATAATAAAAATAAAAATAAAAATAAAAAGGTGATGCATATTTGTGTAATAACTGATTTTCTTGAAGAGAATGAAAACTTTAGCTTGTTACCTGTAGGAAGAGTGGATTTATGCTCAAGTATTTTATTTTGTTGAGAAATGTGGTTTTTCATATCACTAAACTAGATTTGGGGTTTTCCATGCAGGTGCAGCATAGGATGCATTCATTTGCAAAAGGAGAAGAAGAATGTTTGTGCAACTTCCTGCTTTGTTGGCAACATGGCCCTAATGCTGGGAAGTTGTCAATGAAAAGTATTGAGAATATCTGTGTTGTCCAGTCTAGTGCAGAGATAGAACCAAGTTTCACTGCATTTGTGAAGATGGTAAATCAGAAAATGAACAATGGAACTTCTATATCTTGCTCTTGTTCAGGCAATGACCTATGTGCTACCAATCATGATGATCCACATCAAGAGAATGTCAGTCCGAATGTCAAACAGAAATCAACTTTTGCTCAGAGATTAACTGTGGTAAACAATTTTATATGTGGTCTTTTAGACTGTCTTTGATTTAATTACAGATTATAAAAGCATAACAATCGGGTATTACGTGTTCCCTGATTGCAGAGGAAGGGTCCAATGTGCTCTCTGAGTGAAGTGCGGCCATTTGATGGTTCTTTTCTTGCTCTTCACTGTAATAAAGACTTAAATTTCCTAGAAATTTAAATGACTTGGCTTTGCTTGATAAATGTTTTTTTCTGGCAAGTAGCTTTTGTGGGGTGTCTCCTTTCTCTAAGCACAGAAAATTGTGTTTCTGTTTACTTGCTGATTTGCTTTCTACTAGCATGCATGTTCTTCTAGCTAATTAAAATTTGAATAGAACTGTTACATTAAACTTCTGCCTCCCTCTGTAACTTTCCATCATTTTGTCTTCATTGTTTCTGACCTGCTATTATGCATTCTTTCATATTTATTTTGCCACATCTTACCATCTACTTTCTTTTTTCTTTATTTCTTGGAAGACAGGGAAATGTAGAAATCTTCAGGATGAAAATAGACAAGACACTGACATAGGAGGGGTGAAAAAATATCATGCTATTTTAGTCCAAAATGTTGAGAAAGAATTGTCCCCAACGACAGTTTTGAAGTTCATCCACCAGCAAACCTCACTCGCTCCTCAAGTATATATTCTTCCAAGTTTAAAATGGGAATCATTCACAAAGGCTGCTATTGTTTTGGATTGTGAAAAAGATCTGGAGCAGTTGTATGATTTTTTACAAAATCCTAATCACATCATTATCTCCTCAACTGGAAAGTACGTGCTTCTATGATAAGATTTTGCCTTTATATCTTATCAGTGTTCCCTTTTTCTCTCTTTTTTTTTTTTTTTTTGATTTAGACATTTGTTGTTTCTTTTCTATCTGATTTTCCTACTCTTTTCATATTATCCACCATATAGATCTTGTCATTATTCCCAAGCTAATTAAACATAGCCCAAGAAAAGGGCTTCTAGTCATTATGGTCATATTCTTGTTGTTTTTCACCCTTTTTTGTGTATTTTTATTGACTGTATTCTTGTTCAAATTTTACCTTTCAATTGGTTACGTGCTGGTAGTTTTTTCCATGTGCTATGTAACATATCTAAGAAAGTGGGATGACAATGTCACTGCATGCAGGCCATGGGTGGTAGCTGAAAAAATGTCAGGAATTGATGTTGGGCTCTCGAAGCTTAATTCGTTAGTAAGTCCTGTCTGAGTGTATAAATGCTATCTTTTGGGGAATGAAAGTTATGTGGATGGTTATGTAAAGGTTATTTCTCAAGATTTATGAGTGTGTAGAACTTGATATACACTTGCACTAGCTATTTCGATAACTAACACTTTTACTAATATTTATCATATTTATTTGCATGTACATCTTGCAGAATAAATTACTTGACACAAGTGGCAGGATTTGTGAAGAATTGAAGGTTGTTTGTTGTGGGACAGAAGAATTCAGGAGGGTTGCAGAGCTTCGAGATCTATTCATAGAGTTTGCTTGCTATCAGCAGAAACTTCATCAGAAGCTTCACTTGGAAGAGAGAAATATCTTGCACCCATTTTAAGCAAGTCTCAATACAACACGTGCAATATCAGTCCGGTCCCTAGGTTGTATTGTGCATGTTCAACATGTCTGTAAGCAGCTACCGTCTCATACCACGTTCACAAGCTGTATAGATGCAATTGCTGTTAAAATTTCTGCTTTTTGGCCATTTCAAGTACAGTTTTGGCAAAGGAAAGGTACAGTATAGTCGGAGCAATCAAGAAAATCTCCAGTCATTATGCTAGAAGTCGAATCAAGACTGGTACATATCTTTACTATTTTGTTCAGAGAAAGATATCTTGATCTTGAATGTACAGTTGATGCTGCTATGGATAGAAAACTTTTCTAGTGTTGGAGATTGATCCGGATGTATCATTTGTTAAGGTTGTAGAAAACGCTTGGCAGTGGTGAGTGTTTGCTCAGCCTAGAGCTTAGGGTGCCCAGGCTGCCTAGGCCTTCCTTTTTTTTTCTCTTTTTTTTTGAGGTTAATAAAATACATAAAATTATAAAAAAAAATACATTTAAAAAAATAAAATAATCAATGTGAGAGGAAATATAATGTTATGGTCGTTATTTTATTTCATTTTTTATTATAATATAATATACAAATTTAATTAGGATAAAGGAGATTCAAGATTCCTAATTTATAATAAAGGCAAAACTTTACATTAAGTATCTAAGCTTACTTTTAGATTCTCAATTAAGTCCCTAAACTTTTTATTGAAGTAAATAAGTTTTTAAATTTGATAATTTAAACAATTTAAGTTTTTCTTTTTTCTTGATAGTCGTTTGTACTTTATTTGCATGAATAATGTATTGATTTATCATTATCTATATGATAGGTGTTGATCATATTTACACAAGTACAAATGGATATTAAATTTGTTATAAGAAAAATGGTTAAATTATTCAAATCACCAAGTTTTGGGGATTATTTTAATAAAAATTTAGAGACTTAATCAAGAATATAAGATAAGCCTAAGGGCTTAATGTAGGGTTTTACCTATAAAAAAAACGTCAGTTTTGTGCTGATGAGCCATACTTTGATTAAGAGGTTCCAGTAATGAAGACTCCCAAAAGTTGTAGTTCATGAATAATGATTGTGTTCTGATGCAGTAATTTTGTCCAATTATGTCATGATCTCTACAATCTTGAGGAAGCCATGAGCTCCATGTTATCTGATATGAGCTTTAAGTTTTTCCTCTCCTTTTTTTTTTTTTTTTAATGCAATAATCATTCTTTACTCACTCCACCTGCAATGGGCTGCTTAAGTTCTGGTGAAATCTTCGGAGGTTTTTTTGGTTCCCTATTACTCTATATGCTCTCAAAACAGAATGTTTAAGTTTGAATTGTTAGTAAATCAGTTTTGAAGTTAAATACCGAAAACATTTGTTGTAGACCTGGCAAAATTGGACCCAATCCAAAAATCCGATTCAATCCATCTATTATAGATAGGGTCATGCGTGTTATGTATTAATTCGAAATAATCCGGACTGAAATTATCTGAACCCAAATGAGTTGGGTTATGAGTGGGTTGAGTCATCCGAAATGACTCGAAATTTTTTTTATTCATTTTTATTAGATTACTTAAAAATTAATGTTAAATTTCTAATTTCTTAATTCTAAAAGTAAAAATAAATAAAATACTCAAACCATAACCTCTCATCAATTTCACTTTCTCTCAACTTTTCCTCTTCTCCACTCTCACTCTCCCCTTCTTCAACTCAAGCTCTCAAATCCTTCTCTTTGGTGGCACTTGTATCAAAAATTAAATTAGGTGACACATAATAAATTATGTCATATGAAATCGTAGAAAAGATCATTTTTAAAAAAATAAAAAACAAGAATGCCTACTGAAAATCAAAATCCAATGGCAAAGGTACCATCATAACCATTAAAAGTACAAAGATAAAAATATCAAAAATATCAAGGTCCATTCTTAGTTGCTAACTTGTTCTTAATTAATAATTTGTTTCTAATTAACAAAAATCAATTCCGATCCAAATTTTTCTTGTATTTGGTTAGACATATTTTGTATTTGTTTTTTAAAATTTAATATTGAATATGACTATATTTTTTGTATAATGCCCTCCTAAATATTGAATAAAACTGTATTTTTTGTATAATACTCTTATAAATATTGAATA